CTTGGCTTGAGTCGGCTGACAGCGGCATGTCGAAATGGTAATACAGCAAAACGAGTCAATTTGGTACAGACTCAATCCTCGAATGAATTTGGCTTCAAGGTCTCGTTTTCTTGGTAAATCCTGGCTTCGCCGTTGTCACAGTTGACTTGATGGCGTTCCTGTTCACGATCTGTTCATTTACCCCCAGCACATCTTAATGAATCGAAGCTTTGTAGGAATAAACTGGCTGCATGAAACTGGTAGGGAGTCGTGCGTTTTTCACCTAATATCCCTATAATAGAGGCCACTTTTTAGGAAAGTCGACACCAAACACTTTCTTCTAGAATTCCGTAACATTTCACATGTGACAGGTTTTCTTCACCTCCAAGGACGGTCCACTATTTTGTTTCCCGGGTACTTATTCCATTGCGGTGACGACCTGTTCTTGAGTAGAGGGACACTGATTTTATTCCCGAAGTAAAGTCATGAACCTCATGAGCTATAAGAAAGTACATCAAAAATAGTTCAAGGACCAGGTGATAATTCTGAATGACATGAGTTTAGGGCACCCACTAACGAAGGCTTCTAAACTGCTCAAAATTTGAGTTGGCTATTCAAGCGAATTGTTACTACTCGAACGGCAATGAGCTTGCTCATACATTACAAAGGGCATCATCTTCAGGAATCTCCAAATCAGTCCTCAAAGGGCATCTCAGGAATCTCCAAATCAGTCCTCAAGCCTCGACACCCAGTCGATTTGGCCGCGTTCAATGTCCGCACTCTGAAGCAAGCAAGCAAACAAGCTGCTCTTGCACTCACACTGGACTCGCTTGGCATGGATATGTGCTGTGTCTCAGAAACGAGAATTCAGGATGCAAGCACAGTGATTGAGTTGACCGCCCCGTCAGTCTCCACTCGCTTCCGGCTGCGCACCTCTGGTGATCCAGAGGCTGCTACGGTGGGATGTGAAGGGGTTGGTATTGTGCTAAGTCACCGGGCGGAAGTATCCTTACTTGACTGGATACCTGTTGATAGTCGCCTCTGTGCGGTTCGTCTGGCAACGTCTGTGAAGGAGTCTCACAAGCGGCAAGTTGATAGATGTCTGTTTATCGTGTCTGCCTATCCCCCAACTGACTGTAGCTCCGACACCGTCAAACACAGGCTTTACGACGCCCTGAATGCCCTGCTGCGGCGAGCTAAAAGCTCAGACATTGTGGTGGTTGCCAGAGATATGAATGCGCAAGTGGACAAGCTTAGTGCATCTGAGACTCAGTTAGGAGGTCGACATGGAATGGACTCGGTACGTACGGACAATGGGGAACGATTGCTTCAGCTGTGTGCTGATCGCAGGCTGTTTTTATGCAGTACGAACTTCCGAAATAGCCGAAGTCGTCTGGCCACTTGGTG